AGAAGAAGTGGGCTGTAGTCCACGAAAGCTTATGCTCTAATAAATTTGTTAGTCTCTAAGGTGCCACAAGTACTCCTGTTCTTCTTTTTGCGGATACAGACTAACACGGCTGTTACTCTGAAACCTCTCTTACAATGGTGCTCCTGTATGAGACGGGTGTCAAGTGGACTGTCAATCACATGGGAATTGTTTTTTTGTTTCTTGCCTGGTTTTTGCACTCTGAGGTGTGGCTGTCGGGTCCTTAGCCAGTCAGGATCTACTGAGCCACCGCTCTGGGCCCATCCCTGGCCAGCTCTGATCTGCTGTTCCAGTGAGTTGAGTGGTTGAGTGTTTCAGGCTAAGAACTGGACAGACAAATTGCCTGGGACTGAGATGAATGAACCAGGTGCTGAGTATTCACAGCCACACACCTCAGGAGCTTGGACTCAAGATGTGGATGCTGAGTGCTATGTACATCATGGTGGCAAGGACTTTTTCCTCCTGTCCTACTCATCACGAGACAGTTACCACTCTGGGGCTAAACCCGGCTTGTCTGCAGCCTCTGGAGATGGCTGTGACTAAGAATATATTGGCCTTGCTACCCTGAGCATTCCTCACAGCTTAGCATGGGCCTCTTTGGGACGATAAGGTTCCCAATTTGCCCTGTACGCAGTGCCACTGTTGGTGTCCCGTCCCTCTGGAAAGGCAAAGGAGTGGTTCAGGTTTCCCCCACCAGGCAGACATGAATGTCGTGGTCTATGCTGATTGCTTAGGAAAGCAGGCTAAGGTGTGGCAGATGGACAGGGAGTGAACAGGGGCCTCAGTTAGAGAACATCTAGAATTCACATATGCAGGCCGAGCAAAACCAGAGAATTCAGCGTTCAGGCAGCTGCCTGACATCTCTCTGCACGTCATGTCTGGGTACTATCCCCTCCTCCATGCTCACACTACTCAGGGGTACCCAACAGACAGGCCCTTTTCATCTGTATACAATGCGGTGGACCTTAAGGGTGACATTGGCGTTCAAGCGCCATTGACTCCTTAACATCTCTGGTGGGTGCAAATATGGTGGTGGATTTTGTGATCCCCACACCTGTGGGCAAGGAATGGGACCACGATCCAGCCATTCATTCTTCATAGGCAAGCCACCTGGTGGAAACAACTCTCGGGTCACTGCTAAGGTTTGAACGGATGCCCTGGAGGCAATAGGCTTTGCTGTCCATTCCTGATGCCCAGAACACCCAGCCCGGCTGTTTAAAAATGTCTTGGAGGTAAGAGTCCAATAAACTTGTGCTAATGCCAGTCCTCTTTGTGCTTCCATTGGCGCCCAGCACTGTAATAACTCAGCTCTGTAGGGACCGAGGCTCCCTTTGGCTTTTCTATTGTATGAGTACAAACGCTCCTTTAGGGACGTCTAGAAAACGTGTTCCTGGGAATATTTAATATGCCACAATGTCAACAAACCCGTATTATGTCCCAGGGCATCTCCAGCTGGCAGATAAAGGCTAAGGCACAGCTGAGATGTTTTTATTTTAGTGCTGGGAACATTTCTCCTCCAACAATGCTCTTTTCCCCAGACGTTTATTTCTATTATATCAAACGATTAAATAAAAAAGCGAAAGCACTAAACTAAAGCAGAGCAGCTAGTCTTACTGATTCATTCACGGCATTGTTAATTAATAGGCTTTGGTTGAGCCAGAAAATAGGCTACCTTGCTTATTCAAAAGAGTAAGGGCCAATTTCCTCCTGTTCCAACAGGGAAAATCTTCAATGGGATTAGCTTGAATTTGACCCAGTGTGATTGTGAACAAAGTTTTGTTGAAGTTTTCTCTGAGATGAAGCACTGACCTAGTGGTTGGAGTAGGTGACCGGCGTTCAAAATGCTTGGGTTCTATTCTTAACTCTACCACACACATGCTAGTTACTCACACGCTCTGGTCCTCAGTTTATCCATCTGTAAAACAGGGTTAACTTTTCCCCTGTCTACCCATTTGAGGTTTAATTTATTAATGTTTGAAAAGTGCATTGAAATCCTCCGGTTGAAGGTGCTGCTGATATTGAAAGTATTTATTATTAACAGCAGAAATGGTGAAATAAAGGTCTTTCTGTCTAGATACTTGTATGGCCACCATCAATGTAGTATCTGAGTGCCACCCACCCATCTGATTGACTAATACTGATTTCAGTCATTCAGCTGTTAGTTCACAGATTGTTTGTTTTTCCTTTACAAATGATTGGCAAACAGTGTTTTCTGTGGAATTCCTGAACATCCAGTCTCCTGTCCCCCACATCCCTGCCTGTGACAGCTCTCTCTCTCTCTCTCTCTCTCTCTCTCTCTCTCTCTCTCTCTCTCTCACACACACACACACACACACACACACACACACACACACACACACACACACACACACACACACACACACACACAGAGAGAGACAGAGACAGAGACAGAGACAGAGACAGACAGAAGGAAGAGGAGGGGATTAGCTGTCAGAAACAAATCTTCCCCAACTGAGCTGGTCTTCTGACCAGTTAGAGAGCATCCTCCTTGTATTAGTCTTGTCACAAGCTCGCTTCTCCTCTAGGTTGGGCAGAAGCCAACAAAAACGTTCAGGGTAATTTTAAATAGGAGAAGGAATGGAATAAGCTGTCCAGCCCACACACACTCATACACTTATCACCCAGAGAGAACAAGCTTTAAACAACTCAGCTGATGTCTCAAACTGGGAAATCTTAGGGTATGCTGGAACATATTAGTACAGTATGTTTTATAGGGCATCAGGTCCGGACATGCAGAGTTAGAATGTTAGAATGCTAGCTCATGTTAGGACATAACAGATCAGGTCAGGACATGACTCATTAGATGGGGTGTAGTGTCTACAGTAACCATGCTTCATGCAACAAAGTGTGTCTGACAGAGGCTGGCGTATGATGCACATCACATCAGGTGATTTTTTTGGCAGGGGGAGGAATAAATAGCATTTTTGGAGGAAAGGTGGGGGCGGGCATTGATTCTAAGAAGGGATCTGTTGCCAGCAAAAATAAAACCCCACGGCCTCGTGGGTGGGTGTATTCAGAATATCCCTTTATTTGTGCAGTGCAAAGCAAGCAGACACTTTCTACCTTCAGGCCTTTGACTGTGCGAGTGGGACCTGTGGGGCAGAAGCGCTGGGGTTGCATTTCGATTTGGTGTGAAACAGTGTCACTATTTTTGTGGCTCAGCATGCATACATCTTGTATTAACCTCTGGGTTCTGCAGCTGGGGGCTCATTTGCAAAAACCCACTGGAATCATAGCTTGTTAGAAATACTGTTTGGCCCCCTTTCTTTACTGGTATGCTGCACTTCTAGAGCATCTTTCACCTAAGGATGTCAAAGCACTCTGCAATCATTGATTAATCAACCCTCCCAAACCTGCTGCAGTATTATCCCCATTTTAAAGATGGAGAAACTGAGGCATGAAGAGTTGAAGTGATTTATCCAAGGTCACACACCAGGACACTTGATTCCCATTCCCACACTCTGACTACTGTATCATGCTCCCTCTTACTCATTATATAATCACTAGTATGAAGTGCTATGGTATTTGCTACCTGGTGGCTTGGACGTTTGGCACTCAAAGGCTGATGACCAGTGACACTAATTTTCAATGATATCAGAAACTGTTATTGGTAGTATTACAATAGACTCTAGACACACCGTTTTATACAAACATATAAGTCAGCTCTGAAGCCGATTGGAGTCAATGGGAGTCTTTCAATGGGCTTTGGATCAGAACAAGAGTGCGAGACAGTCCCTGCCCTAAAGAACTTACAATCTAAACAGACAAGGGAGACCAAAGGTTGAAGGGAGAACAGAGGAGGGAAGTGACTTCCCCAAGATCAGTGGTAGAGCTGGAAATAGACCCTAGGTCTCCTGTGTTCTTCTCTGCGGTCCTATCCACTGGGCCATGCAACCTCTCTAAAAGAGGAACTTCCTTTTTTTTTTTCTCTCAAAAGCTGAGATGCTGCCCTGAGCTTAGAGCTGCTATTGCCTCGACCTCATCTTTGCTGTTCATCACACATGACTTATAAGTACTGAGGGAAAGCCAAATAAATGTCCCTCC